ACGAAACTTAGTGTTCCCTCGGTAAATGGAGAACTACCTGAATTACTCGGTCAGGTCTTACATCCTCCTGTACTTCGTAATTTTGACAGAAGAGACGGTGATATTACGTCTGAGACATTAATAAACACTCGCTCATTAAAAAATTGCCTTTCCGGTTTCTTTCGATGCATTATTAATGGTCGATGTCAATGTATTTAGAGAATCAACCGACTGATAGCTAACAATTGCCCGTGGTTAAACGCCGACTGACACGAACTTTCTCCTCATTTTCTGCGGCTTTTTATGAGAAGAAAAATTAAAAGTTGCAGGTTTTAAATATCCGATGTAATTAATGATTTCACCTGATGTGTTCAGTCAAAACTTCCCGATCAATTGTCTGCCCAAACGATTGAATACAAATAGCTTGATAACCACCCGTCGAGAACACTGACACTTTCGTAAGTGATATCGGATAATAGACAGGCCTTTTGAGGAAGCACTTTAGCCAAGCACTATCAAACCTCACGCCGTTCAAAATGAACGGAGCTTTTTTGGAATAGCTGAAAGCTTAACGCTGAAAGTGTTGAAGAGCTCAGTGGGAAAATCGAATGTGAATTTCTCCAAGCCCTTCGTGTTTATATTTAATGCACACGGGTTTTACGCAGATGATTGACATTGTCGCGCGCGGTTCATTAAAAGATTCTACTTGACACATTTCAAAACTAGAACCTGTCGTTTAGGCATGCAAAAACATGATGAAATGGTCATTTGAATAAAACCTTCAGTCTCTTGTCAATCAAATTAGGAAACGATTTTCTGTTTCCTTGTGTATGGAAAGTTCAAGAGTGTGGAAAATGACGTTTAATTCACACTTATACTTGAGTGGATGAAAACAAAAGTTTTAATAGTAACGGTCGAGTTCTTTATCGTTAATTGCTTCTCAATGAAGAGTGAGCGACCATCACGACGCCGCGCGTGTCCAAACAAACGGCGAGCGAAAAAGAAGCAGCTGTTCTCAATCGAACTTGGACTTCAGTCTCACAAAATAGCGGAATTTTCCTGTAACTTTTCATTGCTGAAGGATGTTTTTTTTTCGACAAACAGAAATATTTCTTGCTACATAATCATGTGTTGATTTCAACAAAAGTTGCTGGAGGCCAAAAGGGCGAAAGTGAATGACGCGTCGCAATTTATGGTCTTCACGGCGAATCTCTTCCTGTTTTTATGGAAAACATCAAAAAAGCAGAGATTAGGGTCCTAAAGCTTTGTATTGAATTGCCTTATTGGGGAAAGCAATATTTACTTAGAATGTTCTCAATTACTGCCTGGTTTCCTGTTACTCATAGCTTTCGAATTTAAAAAACGTATGCGTCAAAAACTTATTTTACAAAACAACTCGTTAATGTTTTTTTACAACTTTGTCGGAATCTTGTGACTTCGCCACCCATAGTTTTGTTATTGCTAATGAGCAGAAGGTCCAATGTAAATAAATAGCCTTGGAATAATGAGAGCACACGAAATTAAGACAACTTTACGATCTATTGCTGCGCTATCAGCAGAGCCATGAGTTATTTCTCCTTCTGTAATTCCCATCAAGTTAACATGCATATGTTACCATTTTGCTTATTTCTATGGTAGGAATTTGAGTTCAACCGGGGGCCGCTGATAAAATACCAGATAAAAGAACCGAGAGCTTAAAGTGAATTTCCATATATACAACGATTCATTGCAAAAGTAATTGCTTTTGAATCTTAAACACCAAAGATTCACGGGGTTTCACCTTAAAAGTAATTTTCTCGTCTTCTATTGCCCCTGAATTGATTGCAAGCCCATTAAACAACGCTTAGCCAAAAGTCCTCTCTTTAAATTGGTGTAATTAGATCACGGGAAAAGCTCGCGGTTTCGATCAATACCAAAATAATTACTCAGATGACTTCGTTTTTGAGTAAAACTTTGTAGAAACCACGCAAAATTGCAGTGAACAACAAAGCACGTTTGTACAAATAGTGAGTTTTCTTTTACTCTATGGATCACGAGATATGATGCTAAAATTCTGTCCAATATGAAACCCATTAAACGGGCAGTTGTTTTAAAATCAATTTACCACATGTCCTCAACGATGCCAAACGTTTTTTCTCAATTGATGTTTTTTTAACTCCTGAGACTGTACATGCGTTTTGATAGCCGGATAGTCCACGTCAGCAAGCCGACAAGATGCCCTGAATTTTACAAAATCAAGCATATGGAAAACACTGTAGACTAACAATTAAGCCTCTAGCGCGAGAAAGCTATGTTTAAAAACATCGGAATTTGATTGACACAAAAATTATCCAAATTAGCGATTAAACATCTTTGTAAATGGCCTCTGGCTAAAGGGTGTCTTCCAACCAATCACCGCATGCTCTGAGAAACGCGCTCCCTAAGCTAACCAATAGAAGGAGCGCTACGGAGCACATATGACGCCTGTATTTGTCAGCAAATTTTACTAATTGCCTTTATCGTCAATACAATCGCGTTATTGATTTTATATGATATGTCATGAGCTCTCAGGCGGCAAGCTTTCATGCTCTGTTTTGTCCTAAAGCTGTCAGATAAGTTCAGCCTAAGAGCACGGTTGCGACAATTGCTTCAATCTGCTGCGCGTACGAATCGTTCCAGCTACAGCACGTTTAACCAGATGCTTCTCCACTAAACCTCAGCCAAAGAAGCATACATCATGGCCTCAGTTGGAACATGGCATCGCCACATTTACAACCATCCTCCAAAGCAACCAACACCGCATTTTGTTGCCAACATTCTCGGTCTTCAATCAGGCCACCAACCGAATAACGTAACAAGCGGATTCTCTCAGCAAGAACAAACGCTTGTTAAGCGCAACCTTGTCGTAAAAGAGAGAGAAGCGAGATCAAAACAAAGCGAACAAGGTTATGATTCAACTTGTGATGTTGATGAGAAGGAACTTGAACAACCAAAGTCAGAATTAAAAGGTAAGTGACTTCATGCGGTGTTAACGAGCTCGGAAGTTGGTGAAGCAGTGTATTGACAAGGATCAGTTTTCTAAATGTTCTCGGTTTTCTGTCAAAAGCAGATTCCTCTTCAGTCCATTCCAAGGGGGTAAAGAGACTGAAAGGCAAATCTGGAAAGGAAAAAATCAAGAAGAAAAAAGCTAGGACCACATTCACTGGTCGGCAAATTTTCGAGCTCGAAAAGCAATTTAAAGAGAAGAAATACTTGACTGCGGCGGAGCGAAGCGACATGGCCGCTCTGCTAAACGTCACCGAAACACAAGTCAAAATTTGGTTTCAGAACAGACGAACAAAATGGAAAAAGCAGGAAAAAAATTGTGTAACAACAGTTGACACGGAGAAAGATTCGCAAAGCGAGCATTCCGACAACAAAGACAGTACGTATGGAAATGTCTTAGACAACGACGACAAAACCTCGGATTTAGATGAGAGCAGCTAAAGATTAGCTGACAAGAAGATGTAGGAAGGATGGAACTCTATTTAGAAGATCAGAAGGTGTAAAAAATCTTTTATTTATTTTATTCGCGTTTACTCGCCACTTTTAAATTACCAATATGTACAGTTCAGAAGCAACCGTTTTAACAGTTCATATTCTTGAAGTCAGCGGATCAAGACAATTATCTCAATACAAAGGTTTCGCGCCTACATAAATTAAGAGACCGATTAAGGAAATCCTGAACGCTAAAAAAGCTATTAGAACCGTAGCAAGCCTGGACCTGCTTAGCTACAAAAGACTCAGAACGTTTAATGAGCTCAAATCGCCATTTAGCGAGTAAATTTTACAAATCATACGAAGGTTAATTCATTAACTTCTGCAGGAAGCAATTGACCAGCGAGTAACTCATTTGTGTGATAATTGAACACCCTCGCTCAATACGGTGTTTATTTCAGGAAAACGTCAGCATTTATTCGGATCTATGAATGCCAAACGATTTCTTAACTTTACTGATTCTTTAATTGGTCTCCACGCGTTCTGTTGTTCTCTGGCTCAGGCTGTGGTATTTGCAATTCTATCAACGCGCAGTGGGTTTCTTACTGCCAAGTCATTTATAACAAACCACTCGTCGATTTAAGTTGAAGAACCGTTTCAAGCTGAAGCGAAAACGGTTGAAGTGCTCTAGACATTTCAATTAAGCCAAAGCAGTACACAGCTCAATTGTCAAATTTTTACGACTCCGTTTTACTGAAACTACGACTATAAATTATATTTTATTAGGCTGACAACTATAGACCCCCTGCCAGTGGAACGACTCAAACTATGGACTTTTCATTGTTACAAAGGGCTATTGGTAACATTGAAGTCTTAATTAACAACCCCTCCACTCAAAGACATTTTATCAACAAATCCATGCCTAATTCCAGTTCTCACAACTTGTTTTCTTTACGAGACGTTTGGAAATGTTGCATTACTTGGCATGGGAATTAGGGAAAATGATTCAAATGCGTCATTCATATAGTGAAGTCTGCGTTCAATTTTGCGGTAAATAAAGATGAATTGGAAATTGCGTGTTCTCTTGTTCACGGCTGGTCGCCTGATAATTAGATTGAGCGATATCAAAAGTTGCATACTATCTAAATTAGAACTTTGTGCACCATCCATAAACAGTAGATATAGTTAATTGAAAACAAATGGTTTCCGTCGAGCAGCTTAAAAATTCAGCGAACTTGGCGAAGTTTTAAACGTTTTATCGATGATGTTTTGCAATACCTTGTAATTTATAATTGTACACCTTTTTTAATTTATCTTTTCGCACAGATAAATGTATTGGTGATCTTTCGAGGAGTGTTTTTTAAGCATAGAAGTCATAACCTTAAATTTTTTTCCCTTTTCCAAACGTTCTGCTTTTTATTTCGCTTCAATTTCCTTCCGCGACACCGCTGAAGCTAAGATTTTTTACCCAACTTTTCTGCCGACAATCTGTGTCATTGTTTTCTGATCGATTGGTGAAGGACAATTAAGAAAATTTACTCGCGTCCCACGAGGTACCGCAAAATCTAAGGAAACCACACATCTTTTGTGTTCAAAGATCACCGTACCCTCTGAAGTTCCGAACGGGAAACCAATCCGTTTCCCATATTTGCACTTTCGAAACTATCAGTAAGGGTAATGCATCGTTTTGGATCAAACTGTCATTAGCCTATATTTGAACCATTTCGTTATCTTTTGAAACAAATACTAAAAGTGAGAGGTGTCTACAGCTTAATGCTGTTTCGAGATATTCTCGCTTTCAATGTGTAATTACTTGTAGGGCATTTTAATGGCTTGCCACAAAAAGGAATTGAAATAGACTAGTTTTTATGTACTTTCGGCGTTGAGCGATTTCATGCTCAACTTCTTCGGACTTCTCAAAATGTTGAAAACAAATTCTGTGAAAAATTAAGGCAACAGACACTTTTTGTGTCAAAGCAGTAGTTGGTTTCTGGGACGTTTATTTCGATATGAAAGGACATTTGAAAAAGTGAAATTTATCGGCATGGCTTGAAATAGGGACAGAATCGAAAACGCCGCCCGTTGCGAAAACGTGACTGGTTGTAACATATCTAAAACCGAAATGTTATCTGGTTCTCTTCAGCTAAAAGAGCTCGCTGATTGTTCTTCTCTGTCATACTTGAGTCGCACGCACTTGGAGTCGTTAACAACTAATGCACTGGGTAAACAACCCTGACTGTTCGTTGACAAAATTAAGCAAACACCTTTTAGTAACCATGCCAGACAGGAGACAGTCAATTGCTTCATCTGATAGTTTGTAGTCTTGAGTGGATTTAGTTCAATTTAGTTTGAATGAATTAAAATAATGTCCGAAGAGAAAACACAATTTATTTCATCACAGATCCACGCTTAAACATAAAGCCAAACTTTCAAGTAGAAAAGCGCGCTCTACGTATCAAACTCTAAACCTCAAGTTGTAACTGCCTTTGGACTATTAAGGCAAAATGGATTGTTTGCCAAGGGATATCAAGCTACAAAGTGTGACAGCAGTTTATTCTGTTGGGAATTAGCAGTGCTTACCCTTTCATAACTCAATCATAAATTTTCGTTTAACTCTCTTGAACGCAATTGCCTTATTCTGGAGGTCTTGGGAGCCATGTGCAATCGATTAATAAAGTATATAATTTAGGGTATCCAGTAGAGCTATTGTATTAAGCATTTAGCGGCATCTTTGATTTGGCTTTACTTCAAACAGAGCGTTGATCGGATTGATAAACACAAGTGTGAAACGAAACACGCGCGCTGTACCGGATGTATTCGGGTTAAAATCACTTAATGTTTATCTTCACGAGAGAAATTCATCAATACACCGCCTCCGGCGTACAGCGTCGATTGAAGGAAGCTCACATACTCGAGTGCTTGAACTGCGCTGGGTGAGAACAATTGCGCATTTTTATCTAAGATTAAAGGTTAGCTGAAGATCACGACCAAGATAGTAGTAATTAAAAATTTGACAATCGGATTAAGCTCCAATGAAAAGTCATAACAAATAATCTTTTCCATTTATTGACTCAGTCGGTTTTGCTGATAAGGTTGTAATTGACTCCGAGTAGCATCGATTTCTACTTAATCGCTCCACTGCAATTAACTCCAACCACTTAACAAAATCGTTTCGTTTTTCCAAAGAGTATTTTTTTCCCAGTGTGAGTTAAATCAATCAGTTCCAAAATGTGCGAGCATTTTCGTCGATTCGACGCGATCACATTAACTAAACCAACTCGATGGAATTGCAGACAATCAGTAATTCAGTGCGCAATTAAAACTACGCATTCTGAACATACATTTGCGATCGACAGCCCGTTAAGATTAGGGGTTGATCTTGAAAAGATAACCAAAAACGACGATTGATATGTCATCTAAATGGAAGCCTTTCGGAAATGAAACAGAGACTACGAAACTTTAATTTGCCATGTGCAAAGACAATTTTAAACATGTCATATTGGTGGTACCAAATGGTTTTATGTAAAATCTCTCCAAACAATTAACGTTGTTTATCAATTTTCCTTCTTACTTCTTACTTCGGCCTTTTTAGCCCGGCTTTCACTCGCGGGAGCGATCATAAAGAAATTTCTCCTTATGATTTCAGTTAATTTTCAAGCAAAAAATGTATATATCATCTAAGGATGCTGTTTAATTCAGCTGCAAATTCTCACAGCTAAGATAATGAGAAATGGATAACAGTGAGGAGAATTGACAGAGCGCTTTTCGATTGAGCGTGATAAAACCAAATTAGTCCCAACAGCGAAAAAATATCTCAAAAAGCCACTGAGAACTCAAAGTAAAACCAACCACTCAAACCACCTGAAGCGCGGGAAAACGCGGACGACCAAGTCGTGATTGGTTTTTGTTTTGCCTCTGATTGGTTGAGAGAATGGCGCCAGTTTCCTGGACCAATCATCGACTGAAGTAAGCAAAAACAAAGCAATCCCGGATATTAAAAATTGCTCGATTTAAATCTTGCTTTAGCCCCTTAACTCCCAGAAGTGATTAACAGGTAACTTCTCCCTATAACATCCATACATTATCCGGCAAACAGGTAATGAGAATACTCAAACTTATCAGGTAGAAGTTGTTATCTTGATTTAACATCAAATCCTCATAATTAACTAGCAAAATAATGTGTCGCAGCTAGAGGGGAGAATTAATAAATAGATCTTGGGAGGTAAAGGGCTAAGAGATGACCACCTGAGGAAAAGAGGTTGTATTTTTACCCAGTCTGCAATGACTAAATAGCCAGCCTTGAGGGGCCTATGTTGAAGATAAAACCTGCTAAAAAAAATTACTGCTGGCCGCTAAAGTTCTTTTTCTATGAATACGCCAGAAGATGTTGAATAAAGAAGATTACCTAGTTTGTCCGAAACATCCTTTCATAAACCTGAAATGTTAGTTCCTTATCTACACCTCTCTCTGAGAGAGGCGTCCATGATTTCAGTTTTTCTGGCCTGTTCACAAAGCTTCTCAACGAAATAACGGGGGCGAATAAAAATATCGAAGTTGAAGGAAGAGAAAAGCTCTCCCAGCGCATTCGCTTCAATCGCTTTACTCAAACAAACGTAGAAACAAAAAACGCTGTGGATAGACTCGATATTTTTTGATCAAGTGATGAAATAAAAACAATTAAAAAGTCCAAGTGATTGCTGATTACATTTTATTTTGTTCAGCAGAAAAAAATGAAAAAGGTTTTTAAGTCAAGGAACATAGAGAAAACCGCTGATCTGACAACAAGACTGAAATACAAACTGCCCACGTCAATTTCGTCATATTTTCTGAGGTGTACTTTCTGAGGTGCCCTTTAACAGACTTTGTTAACTGTTTCAGCCCGTTATAAGCAATTTTAGCTAATGGTATTTTTCACCGTTAATCAAAAATATATGAAGGCTGCAAGTACCTGATCGAAAAAGAAAAAATTCTAAGATCCCTGCCTGATATTTAGTGGAAAGATGCTAGAAGCACAAGTGAAAGGGAAAGAGATAGTTGTATGTCCAGTCAGCGAAAGAGGACATAATCTTCTGATTGACTGGTTAAAACAAAGTTCGATTTTGCGTAAGAACAGCCTTAGTCTCGTCAGTACGAAACCGCTTCAGTGTAAGGCATGGACACGAAATAAAAGAGCTAAATCAAATGAAAAGTGTAAGGATGAAGACATCCAAAAAGTGCCAGCGTATCCCCACAAGGCGACAGAGCATACCACACATCTTTCTATTTGCAAACGACGTCTTTCCCAACCGTTGCACCATTTGCTTGTTTCGTTCGTATTTCAGGCTTAACTCCCCTTCATGTACAATTTCGTAATTCGCTCCATCAGGAACTCATTGGAAAACCTGAATAGAGAGGAAAGTACAAAGTATCGTCATGGAGAGCACAGAGAGGTCAGTTAGAGAAGTTGCAAAGGAAGGTTGTCTTTTTTTTTTTCACTCCTCCTATGAAACTTTTTACGAGCCACCAAATTATTCAAAACCGTGGACCTACGAAATTTTGAAAATCCAAATACAGAGTCAATTGGCGTGTTTTTTTGTCGTATTAGGATAGCGCAGTTTGTACGAAAATTACCAGTTGAAGTATGATTAGTATAGGTAATAACATGATTTCTCTTGCAACTTGGTGCTAAGCACGAGTAAATTTTTCAAAGACAACAAAATTGCACGAACCCGTAGGGCAAGTGCAATTTGTATTCTCTGAAAAATTTACATGTGCTTATTACACCAAATTGCAAGAGAAATCATGTCATTACTTGTTAATAACGTACATGAAAAAACTTCTCAGAAAGTCAAGACAGACGACATTTGAAAGCGAGCGTGCGCTAACGAATATTGGTGGAGGCAAAGAAGATGAAAGGAGGGGAGGCTTAGGAAGTGGGGTGGGGAGGGTTGATATGAGATGTCCCTCCCTTAGGGAGTGGGACAGGGGGCTGATGCTAGATGTCCCTCCCTTAAGGAGTGGGGTAGGGGTATTGGTATGAGATGTCCCTCCTATCGCTCGGGTGAAACGTCCCCAGTATCGCGGAGTCATTATCAA